AATCCTGAAGGAAAAAGTGCAGATTTTGAGGAGAAAAGTGCAGGTTTTGGGTTAAAAATGCAGATTTTGAGGTAAATAGTGCAGATTTTAGGGTAGAAATCCAGATTTTGAGGTGAAAAGTGCAGGTTTTGAGGTGAAAAGTGCAGGTTTTGGGTTAAAAATGCAGATTTTGAGGTAAAAAGTGCAGATTTTAGGGTAGAAATCCAGATTTTGAGGTGAAAAGTGCAGGTTTTGCGGAGAAAAGTGCAGGTTTTGGGTTAAAAATGCAGATTTTGGGGTCAAAAGTGCAGATTTTGAGGTAAAAATGCAGATTTTTTGGGGTAAAACTGCAGATTTTGGGGTGAAAAGTGCAGGTTTTGGGGTGAAAAGTGCAGATTTTGAGGTTAAAATGCAGATTTTTGGGGTAAAAATTCAGATTTTGAGGTGAAAAGTGCCGGTTTTGGGTGAAAAGTGCAGATTTTGGGGTCTGGGGCAGATTTTGTGGTGCGGGAAAAAAAAGTTAGGTAAAAATGCAGATTTTGAGGTAAAAAGTGCAGATTTTAGGGTAGAAATCCGGATTTTGGGGTGAAAAGTGCAGATTTTGAGGTAAATTGCAGATTTTTGGGATGAAAATGCAGATTTTGGGGTAAAAATTCTGATTTTGAGGTGAAAAGTGCCGGTTTTGTGGTAAAAAATAAGTCAATTTGGAGGTTAAATTGTGAATTTTGGAGGTCAGGAGGAAATCCTGAAGGAAAAAGTGCAAATTTTGAGGGGGAAAGTTCAGATTTTGGGGTCTGGGGCAGATTTTGTGGTGTGGGAAAAAATCGTGAGGTAAAAAGTGCAGATTTTGGGGTAAAAACGCAGATTTTGAGGCGAAAAGTGCAGATTTTAGGGTAGAAATCCAGATTTTGGGGTGAAAAGTGCAGATTTTGGGGTGAAAAGTGTAAATTTTGTGGTGAAAAGTGCAGATTCTGAGGTGAAAAGTGCAGATTTTGGGGTAAAAATGCAGATTTTGAGGTAAAAAGTGCCAATTTTGGGATAGAAATCNGGATTTTGGGGTGAAAAGTGCAGATTTTGGGGTAAAAATGCAGATTTTGAGTTAAAAAAAGATCGATTTGGAGGTTAAATTGCAAATTTTGGAGGATGGGATTAAATCCTGAAGTAAAAAGTGCAGATTTTGAGATGAACAGTGCAAATTTTGGGGTCTGGTGCAGATTTGGTGGTGTGGGAACAAATCGTGAGGTAAAAAGTGCAGATTTTGGGGTAAAACTGCAGATTTTATGGTAAATAGTGCAGATTTTAGGGTAGAAATCCAGATTTTGATGTGAAAAGTGCAGATTTTGGGATGAAAAATGCAGATTTTGGGGTCTGGGGCAGATTTTGTGGTGGGTGAGGAAATCGTGAGGTGAAAATGCAGATTTTGAGATAAAAATGCAGATTTTGGGGGTGAAAATGAAGATTTTTTAGGTGAAATTGCAGATTTTTGGGATGAAAATGCAGATTTTGGGGTAAAAATTCAGATTTTGAGGCGAAAAGTGCCGGTTTTGTGGTAGAAAAAGTAGATTTGGAGGTCAAATTGTGAATTTTGGATGTTGGGAGGAAATCCTAAAGGAAAAAGTGCAAATTTTGAGGGGGAAAGTGCAAATTTTGGGGTGAAAATGCAGATTTTTGGGGTGAAAAAACAGATTTTGATGTAAAAATGCAGGTTTTGGGGTGAAAAGTGCAGATTTTGGGGTGAAAATGCAGATTTTGAGGTAAAAAAATGCAACTTTGGGGTGTTGGGAGGAAATTCTGAGGTAAAAAGTGCAAATTTTGGGGGTAAAAATCTAAATTTGTGGTTGAAAAAGGAAATTTTGGGATATGGGGAGAAAATTGTGAGGTAAAAAAATCAGATTTTGGTGTCTGGCTGCAGATTTTGGGGTGAAAATGAAGATTTTGGGGGGCTTGAACAGTTTTGGGGGAAAAATGAAGATTTTGGGGCGGGGGAGAGAAATTTTGAGGTGAAAATTGGAGATTTTGGGGTGAAAAATGTCAATATTGGAGTGGAAGGGCCAATATTGAGGTGAAAAAGGCAGATTTGGGGCAAATTTGGGACGGAAAAATCTGATTTTGGGGCAAAAAATGGCAAATTTGAGGCAAAAAGGGTCAGATAGGGTCAAATTTGAGGTGAAAAAGGTCAAATTAGAGGCGAAAATTTCAGATTTGGGAGTGGCAGCAGAATTTGGGGTGAAAATGTCAAATTTTGGGGTAAAAAAGTCAATTTTTGGCAGCAAAAGGTGGATATTGGGGTAAAAAATTGAATTTATGGGTGAAAACGTCAGATTTTGGGGTGAAAAGTTGAATTTTCAGGTGCAAAAGGCAGGTTTGGGGTGAAAAATTGGAATTTTGGTATGAAAAAGTCAAATTTTGGGGTGCAAAAGGTGGATATTGGGGTAAAAATTTAAGATGAGTGAAAAAGTCAGATTTTGGGGTGAAAAGTCGAATTTTCAGGCAAAAGGCAAATATGGGGTAAAAAACTTGGATTTGTGAGAGAAAAAGTCGAATTTTCAGGGTGCTCTCAAGGCAGATTTTGGGGTGAAAAGTTGAATTTTCAGGTGCAAAAGGCAGGTTTGGGGTGAAAAATTGGAATTTTGGTATGAAAAAGTCAAATTTTGGGGTGCAAAAGGTGGATATTGGGGTAAAAATTTAAGATGAGTGAAAAAGTCAGATTTTGGGGTGAAAAGTCGAATTTTCAGGCAAAAGGCAAATATGGGGTAAAAAACTTGGATTTGTGAGAGAAAAAGTCGAATTTTCAGGGTGCTCTCAAGGCAGATTTTGGGGTGAAAAAGGTGAATTTGGGTTGCAAAAGGCAGATTTGGGGTGCAAAAGTCGAATTTTGGTGTGAAAAAGTCAAATTTTGGGGTGCAAAAGTAGAATTTGGGGGTGCAAAAAGCAAAATTTGGGGTGAAAAAGTCAAATTTGGGGTGCAAAGGCAGAATTTGGGGTTAAAAAGTCACATTTGTGAGAGAAAAAGAGAAATTTGGGGGTTCAAAAGGTGGATTTTGGGGTGCAAAAAGTCGATTTTTGCGGTGAAAAAGGCGGATTTGGGGTGCAGAGTGGATTTTGGGGGTTCCAGGGCAGATTTTTGGGGTGCAAAATGCAGATTTTGGGTGCCCAGTGCGGATTTTAGGGATTTTGGGGTGCAAAATGCTGATTTTGGGGGTTCCAGGGGCGGATTTTGGGGTGCAAAGTGCCGATTTTGGGGGTTCCAAAGGCGGATTTTAGGGATTTTGGGGTGCTCTGTGTGGATTTTGGGGTACAGAGTGCAGATTTTGGGGGTTCCAAGGCAGATTTTGGGGTACCCCGTGCGGATTTTGGGGGTTCCAGGGTCAGTTTTGAGGTGCCCCGTGCGGATTTTGGGGATTCCAAGGCAGATTTTGGGGTGCCCCGTGCCGATTTTGGAGTGCCCAGTTCGGATTTTGGGGTTCCCGTGCCGATTTTGGGAATTCCAAGGCAGATTTTGGGGTTCCTGTGCCGATTTTGGGGGTTCCAGGGTCAGTTTTGGGGTGCCCCGTGCGGATTTTGGGGTTCCAAGGCAGATTTTTGGGTTCCAAGGCAGATTTTGGGGTGCCCCGTGCGGATTTTGGGGTCCCAAGGCAGATTTTGGGGTCCCAAGGCAGATTTTGGGGTTCCCGTGCGGATTTTGGGGTCCCAAGGCAGATTTTGGGGTCCCAAGGCAGATTTTGGGGTTCCTGTGCCGATTTTGGGAGTTCCAGGGTCAGTTTTGGGGTTCCCGTGCCGATTTTGGGGTTCCCGTGCTGATTTTGGGGTTCCAGGGTCAGTTTTGGGGTTCCCGTGCCGATTTTGGGGGTTCCAAGGCAGATTTTGGGGTGCCCCGTGCCGATTTTGGGGTTCCCGTGCCGATTTTGGGGTTCCAGGGTCAGTTTTGGGGGTTCCAAGGCAGATTTTGGGGGTTCCAAGGCAGATTTGGGGGTTCCAGGGTCAGTTTTGGGAATTCCAAGGCAGATTTTGGGGTGCCCCGTGCGGATTTTGGGGTTCCAGGGTCAGTTTTGGGGATCCCGTGCCGATTTTGGGGTTCCAAGGCAGATTTTTGGGGTTCCAAGGCAGATTTTGGGGTCCCAAGGCAGATTTTGGGGTTCCCGTGCCGATTTTGGGGTTCCCGTGCCGATTTTGGGGGTTCCAAGGCAGATTTTGGGGTGCCCCGTGCGGATTTTGGGGTTCCAAGGCAAATTTTGGGGGTTCCAAGGCAGATTTTGGGGTTCCAGGGTCAGTTTTGGGTGTTCCAAGGCAGATTTTGGGGTTCCCGTGCCGATTTTGGGGTTCCAAGGCAGATTTTGGAGTTCCCGTGCCGATTTTGGGGTTCCAGGGTCAATTTTGGGGTGCCCCGTGCCGATTTTGGGGTTCCCGTGCCGATTTTGGGGGTCCCAAGGCAGATTTTGGGGTTCCAGGGTCAGTTTTGGGGTTCCCGTGCCGATTTTGGGGTTCCAAGGCAGATTTTGGGGTTCCAAGTCAGATTTTGGGGTTCCAGGGTCAGTTTTGGGGGTTCCAAGGCAGATTTTGGAGTTCCCGTGCCGATTTTTGGGGTTCCCGTGCCGATTTTTGGGGTTCCCGTGCCGATTTTGGGGTGCCCCGTGCCGATTTTGGGGTTCCCGTGCCGATTTTGGGGTCCCAGTGCCGATTTTGGGGTTCCCGTGCCGATTTTGGGGTCCCAGTGCCGATTTTGGGGCGCGGTGGGGGCGGGGCCGCTCTCCCCTCCTCCTCCTCCTCTCCTTGAGCCGCCCTTGGCGGGGGCGGGGCGGGCCCGGGGCCCTTCCCGTGCTCGGCGCCGCCGCCCTCAGTCCCGGCCCGGCTCCCGCAGCTCCCGGACACCGCCGGACACTCCAACCCCTCCGGACACCGCCGGACACTCCAACCCCTCCGGACACCCGGACACCCGGACACTCGGACACTCGGACACTCCAACCCCGCCGGACACCCGGACACCCGGACACTTCCCCTCCGGACACCGCCGGACAGCCGGACACCCGGACAGTCGGACACCTCCGGACACCCGGACACCCGGACACCTCCGGACACCCGGACACCCGGACACTCGGACACTCGGACACTCCAACCCCTCCGGACACTCGGTGGGTGCCACCCCCTCACGATCCTCCTGATCTCCCTCCCGATCTCCCTCCCGATCTTCCTCCCGATCTCCCTCCCGATCTCCCGATCTTCCTCCCGATTTTCTTCCCGATCTTCCTCCCGATTTTCTTCCCGATCTTCCTCCCGATTTTCTTCCCGATCTTCCTCCCGATTTTCTTCCCGATCTTCCTCCCGATTTTCTTCCCGATTTTCCTCCCGATTTTCTTCCCGATTTTCCTCCCGATTTTCTTCCCGATCTCCCGATCTTCCTCCCGATCTTCCTCCCGATCTTCCTCCCGATTTTCTTCCCGATTTTCCTCCCGATTTTCTTCCCGATTTTCCTCCCGATTTTCTTCCCGATTTTCCTCCCGATTTTCTTCCCGATCTTCCTCCCGATCTTCCTCCCGATCTTCCTCCTGATCTCCCGATTTCCCTCCCGATTTTCTTCCTGATCTCCCGATCTCCCTCCCGATCTTCCTCCGGATCTTGCTCCCGATCTTCCTCCCGATCTTCCTCCTGATTTTCCTCCCGATCTCCCTCCCGATCTCCCGATCTCCCGATCTTCCTCCCAATCTCCCTCCCGATCTTCCTCCCAATTTTCTTCCCGATCTCCCGATTTCCCTCCTGATCTCCCTCCCAATCTTCCTCTTCCAATTCGGGATTTTCCTGGTTTTCCTCTCCCGCCCCGACCCAAAAGTCCTGGGTTTTACTCTGCGGATTTGGGGTTTTCCCTTAAAATCTGGGGTTTTCCCTTAAAATCTGGGGTTTCCCCTCAAAATTTGGGGGTTTCCCTTAAAATCTGGGGGTTTTCCCTCAGAATTTGGGGATTTCCCTTAAAATCTGGGGTTTCCCTCAGAATTTGGGGGTTTCCCTTAACATCTGGGGTTTTCCCTCAGAATCTTGGGGTTTTCCCTTAAAATCTGGGGTTTTCCCTCAGAATTTGGGGGTTTCCCTTAAAATCTGGGGGATTTCCCTCGAAATCTGGGAGTTTTCCCTTAAAATCTGGGGTTTTCCCCTCAAAATCTGGGGGATTTCCCTTAAAATCTTGGGGATTTCCCCTGTGGATTTGGGGTTTTCCCTCAAAATTTGGGGGTTTCCCTTAAAATCTGGGGTTTTCCCTCAGAATCTTGGGGTTTTCTCTTAAAATCTTGGGGATTTGCCCTGAGGATTTGGGGTTTTCCCTCAGAATTTGGGGTTTTCCCTTAAAATCTGGGGTTTTCCCTCAGAATTTGGGGTTTCCCTCAAAATCTGGCAGTTTTCCCCTGTGGATTTGGGGTTTTCCCTCGAAATCTGGGGGTTTTCCCTTAAAATCTGGGGTTTTCCCTCAAAATTTTGGGGTTTTGTCCTCAAAATCTGGGGTTTTTTTTACCCTTTCAAATCTTGGGGTTTTCCCCTCAAAGTCTTGGGATTTTCTCTTAACGGGGGGGGGTTTTCCCTTAAAATCTGGGGGATTTCCCTTAAAATGGGGGGGATTTCCCCTGTGGATTTGGGGTTTTCCCTCAAAATCTGGGG